CTACCACTACTACTACTAATACTACTACGACTACTACCCCTACTACTACTACTACTACTACTACTACTACTACTACTACTACTACTACTACGACTATTACTACAACGACTACTACCACCATCACTACTACTACTTTACTACTACCACTACCACTATCACTACTACTACTGCTACTACTACTACCACTACTACTACTACTACTACCACCATTACTACTACTACTACTACTACTACTACTACTACTACTACTACCTACGACTACTACTACTACTACGAACTACTACTACTACTACTACTACTACTACTACTACTACTTACTACTACTACTAGGTAGATACTACTAAATACTAACTACTACTACTACTACTACTACTACTACTACTACTACTACTACTACTACTATTACTAGTACGACTACTACTCTACTACTACTACTACTACTACACTACTACTACTACTACTACTACTACTACTGAAACGACTCCTACTCCATCACTAATACGACTACTACTACTACTGACTACTACTACTACTACTACTACTACTACTACTACTACTACTACTACGACTACGACGACTACTACTACTACTACTACGACTACTACTACTACTACTACTACTACTACTACTACTACTACTACTGCGGCTACAAGTACGCCTACTAACAGTACGGCTGATACTACTATCACGAGTACAAATACGACTACGACTACTATTTCTTCTTCTACGACTACTACTACTACTACTACTACTACTACGACTACGACTACTACCACTACTACTACTACTACTACTACTACTACTACTACTACTACTACTACTACTACTACTACTACTATTACTACTAATACTACTATTACTACTACTGCTGACTCTTAGCTTGAACTACTACTGTAATACTGACGAAAAATACTGTTACTACGACTTGGCTACTACTAGTACACTACTACTACTACTACACCTCTACTATCATCTACTACTACATACTACTACTACTACTACCTACTACTACTACTACTACACTACTACTACTACTCTACTACTACAACTACTACTATTACTACGACTAACTCCTACTACTACCTAACTAACTACTACTACTACTACTACTACTACTACCCTACTGCTACTACTACTCTACGAACGACGACGACGACGACGACGACGACGACGACGACGACGACGACTACGACTACTACTACTACTACTACTACTACTACTACTACTACTACTACTACTACTACGACGACTTATAATAGTACTACCACTTCTACGACGACTACTACTACTACTACTGAAGCTTCCAGAACTGTGAGTTTGCAACTTCCCATCGAAGACGAGTCACTTTACAACCAACACGCGTAAGGCAGCGAAGTGCGTTCCTTATGCGGGACAACGGAGATCTAGAATTATCTGGAAATTCAGTTGAACAGGATTTCCTGATGTGGTTGGAAAGAGCCCTTCCTGGTTGTAAAATGACCTTTCCAGGAAACTTGTGCTGTTCTGGTTGGAAAAAGTTGTTCTGGTTGCAAAGAGACGTACACGCCTTCTGGAGCCCTGCCCAGCGTCCCCTGGGAACGGTGGATGGTTCTGAATACGTAGTCTTTCCGCCCTCGGGGGCGGGCATTGGTCCATTCTCCACTGCTCCGCGGGGCCTCTGGCTTGGCACGGTCCCTGGAGGTCCCTGGATGTCTCCAGAGATCCCCGCAGGTGCCTGAAATGCCTGGAGGCCTCCGGGAGGCCTCCCGAGGCCCAAAAATAAGCCGAGATCGCCCAGAGACATCGATCCTTGACTCTTCCTCTCCCTAAGACGAAAGCCAGGGCGAAGGTATGATCGGGTGAGGATCAATCGAGAATCACTGAGATCAGGCGGTTCTGGAGGATGTCTCGGGCGCCGCGGCCTTCTGAGAGCGTCCCAGAACGTTCTGAGAGCGTTCCAGAATGCTCAGGAACGGATTCATCCTCATCCTAGACCCTTCCTCTCCCTTTTCCTCCTCCGCCGGGTTGCCGCTCCACCCAGGAGCGCTGCTGCCAGATCCCTCCGACGTGCACGTGGTGCTGGAGGCTCCTGGGGGGACTAAGCGACGCCGATGCAGTGGAAACCTATGCCAAGAAGCACCCTGCTTGCCTCCTCGGTGCCCTGGGTTTCCTGGGCTTCCAGACAGCGCGACGTTCCCACACCGAGAATCAGTGGACGTTCTGGGGTCTCAGGGTTGGGTTTCTTGTGGAAAACTTCCTTCTGTAACCAGCCTCGAACGTATCCCTATCCCTAAGATGGGCGATCAAAAAGCGAGGACAATCTTAGGGATAGGCCCTCAAAAACTGAGGGAATCCTTAAGATCGGCATCGAGGTGAGGTGATGTCAAGCATAGGGATAGGGATATGTTCCAAAGTGGTAATTCTGGTAGAGCCCCTGCTGTGCCGCTGCTCCCCAGATCCTCTCGCGGAGTGCGTGCTGGCAGGGAGCCCGAGGCGAAGCCGGCCGTGGCGACGGGATCCCCCCCCAAAAGAAGGCGAGAACGCAGGATCGGCCAGCATCGGATCGGGATCTCAAGCGACCTTGCGGGGCGGGGATCTATCCACGTCCACCGCCTGGGAACCAACGTCCTGGTGCCCCAGCGGGCGGCGGACATGGATACATTCTGCCTCCCGGGGGGGACCGATCCCACAGGCGGTGGTTATGGATGAATCCCCGCCTCGGTTAAATCAAAAATGTGCGCCAGGTCGGACTGCATCGGCAAGCAGTCGAAGCTTGGTCGGATCGACAGTGCACCGCAGCGCCGTGCGAACATCGGGCCGCCTCGGATGGTCGGACTGGCGGACTCGCATCGGATCGAGCCGGCCGGGGTCGACATAGCCCCAGATCGACGGGATCGAAAGGGGCTCTCACAAGCGAAGGAAACAAACGCATCGGCATCGGTACGGTACGTGCATGGCGTGACGGCCCGGGCGTTGGATTTTGACACTCGCCGAGCGCGTTCCACTGCTCGCAAAGTGCCTACTCGCAGACGTCCGAAACACACCTGTGCGCTTTGACGTGATTTATCGTAGATCCCCGGCGGGGGATCCAGGCCCTTTGCGAGTAGTGACTTTGCGAGTAGTGGAACGCGCTCGTCGAGACACCGCGTGGAGCGTGCACCGTTCAGCGATCTGGGCTGTCCCCTTGCGCAAACCGTTGGGTGACGGCCGATCTGCAGGCCACCGCCCGCGTTCGACCTCGAAAAACCCGCGCTGGGGTCGCCGCCACGTCGACACGAAAGGAACCTTTGCGGCGTAGGGAGCTATCACTAACCACCGCCAGGAGATAAATCTTCGGGCACCTCAGTAGACAGTGGATATGGATGTATCTGCCCCCCGGACCATAATTCATGCACACATGTATGTATACATATACATGTACATATACAAGTCCATACACATATATAGATATATGTGCGTAGGTATACACATATGCACATTTACATACACGCCTGCATGCCTGCATGCCTACCTGTCTGCCTGCCTGCATGCATGTACAGATACATGCATACATACATACATGCAGTCATGCATGCATACATATATATATATATATATATATGTGTGTGTGTGAGCGTGTATAAATTCATATACATACAAGCTTACATACAAGCATACACACACATGCATACGTACATATGTACACACAGGCAGACAGACAGGCAGACAGGCATGCACACATGCATACATGCGCACATACACGCATACATACACATACAAATATGCGTGCATGCTTTCATACATACATGCATACAGACATACATACATAAGTACGTACCTACATGCATACATACATGCATGCATGCAGATATCCATAAATTGCACAGATGTACATGCATGAATACAGTTGTACATGCATACCTACACACATACATGCATGCATGCATGCATGCATGCATGCATGCATGCATGCATGCATGCATGCATGCATGCATGCATGCATACATACATACATACATACATACATACATACATACATACATACAGTACATACATACATTATATATATATATATATATATATATATATATATATATACATACACATCCGCCACCGTGCCTCTGGGCACGGAGTGGGCGTGCCCTACCAGATTCCGCAATCTACTTGGGCTTGTCGCGTGCCCACTGGGGCTTCCCGCGTGCCCCCTGGACTTTAGACGTGGTCGAGCGTAAATTGCTCGGGCCCAAGAGCAAGACACACCAAGAGGGCCCCACGAGGCCCCCAAGACTGTCCAAGAGCGCCCCGAGACGCCCACTGATCGGCCCAAGAAGCCCAAGATGGCCCCAAGATGGCCCAGGAGGCCTCCGAGAAGCCCCAAGAGGCTTCCAAGATGCCTCCCAAAAGGGCCCCAAGAGGCAACTCGCAGTGATTGTATATCGGTGTCTCGACTTTCTGGCGTTCCGAAGCCCCACGCCGGCCCAAGAGGCGCCCCAGAGCCCCCAAAACAGCCCAAGAGGCATCCAAGAGGGCCCCGAGACGGCCGAAGAGCGCCCCAAGACTGCCCGAGGAGCATCCAAGACGGCCCAAAAGGGCCCCAAGACGGCATCAAAAGTGACCCAAGAGAGGGAACACGAACCGAAAATCCGAGCCGTCCGCCACAAGGGGCCCCGAGGAGGCCAAAAAAAAGGCGCACAGGAGGCCCCAAGAGGTCCCCACGAGGCCCCCAAGAGGCCCAAAGATGCCCCCAAGAGGCCCCAAGAAGTCTCCAAACGCCCCCCAAGAGGCATCCAAAATGCCTCCAGGTGTCGGGAGGGGCCACTGTGCCGAATATACATATAGATATACCAATATATAGATGTGTGTTATATACATGTGCGTATACATACATATGCATACATACATACATACAGAAATACACATGCATTTGCAGATCAAAATATGCATACATACATACAGACATACGCACATACACATAGATATGCCCATATCTACACACGTACATACATGCATGCATGCGTACATACATGCAGACATCCATACATGCATACACAAGCATATGTATGCCCATATGCATATACGAATGCATATACATATATGTATATGCACCCATGTGTCTATATATGCATAAACATGTACACATACAGTATGTGTGCATATGTGTATACATATGTATATATATGTACGCATACATAGTGGTACATATAGTTCTATGTATATATGTAGTCACATGCGTATCATTGCGCATATACATACACAGGTACGTCTGACTGCGCAGAGACTATGCATCGATATATGTACACATATATACATATGTAGTGTATACATATGGGGGCGATGGACATACACATATATATACACACAAATATACATACTCAGATGTGTAGATACGGAGATGGTACGCTCATGCATATACACAGACAGTTACAAATACATGCGCACATACATAGGCATAATCAGATACATGCACATTTACCTGTACCTATACATATGCATCTACCTATAGCTATACATATGCATAAACAGACACATATACACATACATATACTCGTATAGATACCTATACCTATACGTATACCTATACCAGTACACAAACATGCATACGCATAGACATTGGCATAGCCATATACCTACATAGACCTAGTCATAGAGATATGCAGATATATACATACATCTATATGACTATATACAGATATCATTAACTATGCATATACATATGTTCACACATATGTTATTTTGGATACACACATGCGTCTACATATATATATATAGATGTGTGTATAGCTAAAGAAGGAGATATGGTTATTTACATATACATATATATATATGCATAAAAACATATACATACCAACACCTACATAAATATATATACACACGCATACACATTCACACACAATGATAGAATCAGATCCATAAGCACATGTACACATATACACGACTGCATATACATATTCATGTACATATGCATCCACCGAAACATATACATCGACATAGACCTGAACATATACCTATACATGTACATGTACATATTGATATGCGCATACATCTACATATGCCTACACATATACATAGACATAATCATATAAATACACATACACATTGACATTGACAGTTACTTTTTCGTACACATAAACATATACATATACATACACACGCATGCATGCATACACACACAGACATACATGTATTCAAGACTGCATTGGTGCTTCGCACCATGCACTTTGGTCCTCGATGTTTGGCATAGTTTGGCATGCAGGCGGAAGGGCCGGAATATAAACCAGACAAGTTAGCGATCACTCCGTGTTGACTTTTCCGCCATCGACGCTGCAATAACGTTATACATTATCCCTCCCTCATGGTTCCTCTTCCTCTTCCTATTCTCGCCTGGGGCTTGTTGGGGCCTTCTAGAGGCCTGGGTTCATTCTGGGGACCTATGGGGTCTTCCTCGGGCTACCTTGCTTCCAACCGCGGTCTCCCTGAGCGACCTTTCTTCGGGCCACCTTGGGGCCATCTTGGGCCGTTTGGGTGTTCTCTTGGACTGCCTGGTAACCTTTTGGACGGTTTGGGGAGCGATTATCCGGCCTCATGGGGGGTCTTGGACGCCCGGAAGACCGAAGAACATAGCATTCGCAAAATCATACTAGACCCATGGGACATCCTGTTGTCTGCGCTTCGAGAGCATTTCGGGAGTCTTCTTTGGGTCGTCTTCGAGCGTTTGGTGGGTGTCTGGGGTGTTTTCGCAGAACCTAGACAGTGTATATCTGTATATACAAATACAAGACTGCACTGGCGCTTCGCACCATGCACTTTGGTCTTCCAAATTTGGCATGCAGCCAGGAAGGCAATAAGGTGAAACGGCACATTTAGCGATAACTCGTTGTTATCTGTTCTGGCATCGTTACCTCATGTTTCCTTTCCTTCTTCCTCATTATTGCCCTACCCTGCGAATTCGCCACCATCCTCAGCTTTTGCGGAGGCTCTTCCTGGGAGAGCCTCTTGTAAGTCTCACGAAGGCTTTGAAGGGCTTGTTGGGGCCTTCTGGAAGCCTCCTGGGTTCCTTCTGGGTGCTTCTGGGGGCTTCCCTAGGCCAACCTGCTTCCAACCGCGGTCTCCC